ATACATGTCATTATACATTTGTCCAAACCCACAGAATGTACACAAAAGTGAACCCCAGTATAACCCTTGCACTTTGGGGTGACAATGATGTATCAGTGTAGGTTTACCAGTTGTAACAAACATATCTCTCTGGTGAGGGATGTTGATAGTGGACAAGGCTGTGCCTGTGTGGGGACAGGGGATATGCGGGAAATCTCCATACTTTGTGCTCGGTTTTGCTGTGAACCTAAAACTGCTCTGAAAAATAGCTTATTCTTTCAAAAAAAAATAACCACAAGTAACAAAGACATGAGCAACATTGTTCTATTATTATTTTTATGGTGATTACATTGCTGATTCTCCTTACAGGGAATGCGGAAGTGTTTTAGACATGGTAGCGAATTTCTAACCACCGGCTCATTCCCTTGGAAACTTGAAAAATGTTTTAGAACTCATGCTGTCAACAGCAGTGGTTTGGCTTGAGAAAACCACTTACTCTCCATAGCAATGTAGTTTTAGGGAGGTGGAGGGTACAGCTCAGTGATAGAGCACTTGCTAGCATACACAAGGTCCTGGGTTCAATCCCAGGTGCCTCCATTAACAAAAAAATAATGAAATAAATACTTTTTTAAAAGGAAATGCAGTTTTAATTTAAAGCTACATTTAACCACAGGGATAAAAAGGAACACAGTGCTACAGTGGGCAGCCTTGTAAACCTCTTAAATGCCACTGTGTGAACCTTCCGTTGAGAAATCCAGCCCAAAGGAATCCAGCAAAGGAGATCAGGATGCTGTCAAACTTGTCCTATTCCTTGTGGATCCGGAATGTCTGACTCCAGAAAACTGGCACTTCATTTTAATCAGGTCTTTCCAGAATCAGGACATTCCTCCTTCCCTTGGCTCCTTCACCATTTCCCTCCCAAACAAGATGCACTCTGGGCTCAGGACAAATGTTGCCACACCCCTGAACACTCATACGCTTGGAATGAAGAAAGGGCAGTTACAGATTAAAAAAAAGAAAGTACAATGGGGCTTCATTTAAAAAATCAAATTGAATCCAGCTCAGTCCAGACTTTGGGTGAAGGAAGTATTTTGGGGCTCCACCTTGGGAGAGTTTAGACCTTGGATTTGGAGAGCAATTTGTACAAGATGGAGAACAAGTTGACTTTCAAATCAAGTAATTGTGAGGAGTGGGCAGGATAAGGACTACAGGAGTTTAGAGCCCCCCCTGGGCCCCCTCAGTACTGCCCTCCTTCCACCACCTCCTCTCTGAGCCCTTCTCGGAGGCCCTACTGCTTGGACCAACACGGCGGCTCATGATGGGCTGTTACATTGCCCTTCACGCCCTTCACACTTGGCTAACTCTACCTTGTCTCCCAGGCCGATTCCATTCATTTCAAGCAACCCTGAGGCTCACCCAAGCAGACAGAGTTCGCTGCGGTGGCCACAAAGGCAAGTCAGTGGTGAGTGGTGAAAGAAATGTTCACCTGTTGAGGTATGTGGAAGGCATTCCAGCTTATACATAATTGGCTTGAACTTTGTGCTAACTAAAACACAGGCTGTCTTGTGGCTTATCAAATGTACACTGAATGTCAGTTTTACCCATTGAAGACAAGGGGGCATTGTCCAGGAGTACAGTGTCCATTCTGACGACAGGAATGAATTCCCCCCTTCCTGGGACGTCACGCTCTGATGACAAGGCTCCCTTTCCAGGCACCACGGCCATACTGACGCTCTGTGTACGTGCCAATCTGACTTTTGTGAAACCTTGAAGGACTGTGTATCTATCATGTTTGATATTCTTTGTTCTGACAAAATATAAAACTGTCCTGAAAACCATGGTTGACCGGAGCCCTCCTAGGAGCTCTCCCCAGGCTGCCCACTCTCCTCTGTTCTTACTGCAGACTGGTTTGTTGATTACTTCCATCGATCTAAGCAATCTTAGTGAGCACCCTGTCAAAGCCCCTTCATGTACAGATCGGGAAACTGAGGTCGAGAAAGTTGGGACACTCACCCAGGGACGTGAAGCACCCAGCACAGGAGGGAGCGCAGCCACCGACAGGTCACACTTGTTCACTGTGACAAAGCCACCTGTGCCAACTCTCTGCCGCCTTCCTTTTAAACCTTTCTTGTTGATGTGGGAGGGAGAAGGGAGGTGAGAGCAGAACCATGACCTGGAGATCTTTTGCATTACGCTCTGATCGTAGTTTTGTTCAGAGCACCTGTGACTGCTTTCTCCAGCCTAGAACACCCGGATGAAGCCACTGGAATGCATGCCTGACCCTTCTCAGCTGGAGACCCAGGCTGGTCACCTGGTCACTCCCTGAGCTGGCTCTGAATGCATCCTCCAACTTTCTGGTAATGGCTCCCCTGCCCTTCCATCCCCAGTAAAACTGGAACTTCTCCAATGACAACAACTGCCAGTTATTACTGTCTGTCACTGCACCAGGTGCTTCATAGTTATGAAACCATTTTATCTTCATGATAATCTAAGAGGACACAGTCATTCCTGTGGTGCAAATGAGAAACTAAGAACGCAGAGGCATTTTTTTTTTTAATGTGCTGAGAGCCTTCAAGCTAGGACAGCAGCCCAGACCCGGCCAACTGGGCTCCCAGTTGGGGGACTGTGGCCTCCTGCCCCCACTGCAGCTCTCCTGAAAGACTCAAACTTAATGTTTTAAAAATATATTCCATGAACTCATCCCACCTGGAACCTAAGCTGGATCCAGAGCCCGGGCTCCTTGACAATCGAACATGGAGGACCGATGAGATTCCTTTCTTTCAGGGTCTTCATCTAATAAAGAAATGTAATAGACGGAAAAAGAGAGGAAAAGAAGTGAGGAAGAGAGGAAGATACTACAGCAGAACTTCTCTGTATCAGCACATCTCATTCCCCTGGGAATATTCATAGCAGCGCGTCAGGACACACACATACACGGACACGGATGCACGTGTGTATGCAGTGGTGTGCAGACATGAATACGTGTGTAATTTTATACTTAACTCTGATATACAGAACTGGTAAGGACTGCTAATGTGTGATTGTGGGTCATTGAAATGGAAACGCTCACCGCCTGTGAAAAGCTGCTCCCAGAATGACAAATGCAAGCCATTCATCTCAATCAGTGGAACAGGAAGAGGGGACACCTGGGCATCCCCTGACCACCGGTAGGACATGAGAGCTCTGATTTCTCGTCTTCACAGTCACCGGGGAAGGTCACTGACTGTGCTGGGTGGAAAATGCCCCTCCCAGCCTCGTGCCTTTGCTCACGCTGTTCCCGTCTCCTGAAAACCCTTCTCAGCTCGTCCTCCTCCTCCTTAAAAGGCCCAGCTTAAGTCTTTCTGTGCCAGGAAATTTGTTCCTGACCAACACAAGCTCACGGCTCTCTCCTGGTCTGGACCCCCGCACGACGAGTTCTGCTCTCGTGTCACTGCTGAGGCTGTAATGAGGAGTTATGGGGATGCACACGCCAGATCTTCATTCTTTCTTCCCTTCCCCCTGAAATTAGATAGTTGTGCCTTCTTTTGGCCGTTTGATTTTGACTAAATTTTGTTTCCTTGGAAAGAACAGAATGGTGTTCATACTTTCAAGCAGGTAAAACTCAGTTCTCCGCAGAAGGTGGAGTGAAGTTCTCCCGCGGAAGCCAGGGCAGATCCGGCCAGGAATGGCTGGCGTCGGGTCAGCTGCGGTGCCTGGCGATTCAGGGTCAGACACACTGAGCAACGGTCCATCTGGGCGATGAAGGTCCATGACTGCTGCTGCGGTGAGTCTCCCTGGGGGCCCAGGCACATTAGGGCCCGGTGCTCACACCTGGAACTCCAAGCGCTGCCCTGCTGTCTCCAGCCCAGACGCGGCCAGCTCACGCAGGGTCACACAGGGCCCATTCGGGGCTCCCCCACTTGCCTCAGTGAACCCTCAAGAGAAGTTAGGCCACGAGGATCATTGTCTGCACTCCAGATATTTATCTTTTATGGCCTTTGAGCTCATTATAAAGATATTCTCTTTAGATGCTCAGTGTAAATACTAAAGATCGCTGATTAAGAGAAGACTGATTCTCCTTAAACACTAACAATAGTCATCCGAAAGAATGTTTATATTTTACTCATTGTAGGGAACAGAGGCAGAAATTTGCTTAGGACCCAGGACTCCTGACCTTGGGTCCTCGTGGTGACCTCAGAACTGGGGTGGCCTCTGCCCCAGGGCTCCCCAGAGCAACGCCAATCCATCGGCTCCTACTCAGAGGACCAGAGAAAACGCACTGACTCTAACAGGCCTCCTAAGAGACGGTGAAGGGTTCAGGGGTGCTAGTCCACACAACTGATTTACCCCTGCTTCTCTGTACCTGGATGGGTGGCAGCCAGACCACAGGAAGTAACTGCAACTCCTAGAAAAAAAGGAAATTACAAATTAACACAATGTCAATATAATAAAACAAAATCTGTTACCATAAAACCAAGAGGCGGACAATTGCTTTTCTTTCACAACATGTCGCCGTCTCTAACTAGCTGGGTGCCCTTGAACAGGGACCTTTATCCCCTCTCCTTCCAGCCCGGAGTTGTTCCCTCTGAAAAATGGCTGAACTTGAACTTGGCGGCTTCTGAATGCCCTTCGTGCCCTGCAGCCGCAGGCGCTCTGGACTGCTGGGCAGGGACGATGGCTTCCTGGTGGCCAAGGCGTTGAGTGAGGGCAGTGTGGTGTACCACATGCTTGCAGCCACGACTTGATTTAATTTAAGTAAGTAAAAACTTGAGCAATTGCT